TGTGTTACCAATGGTGGGGCTTCTTTACAACCATTGCTGGTTCATGTTGGGATTCTTTCATCCAACATGAATCCTTAACTGCTAAAAGTAATGAACGGCTGGGTTGGGTCACGGTTTGGTTTTCTCTTGTTTGGGCCATCTGGACTACCAGGAACAACTTAATCTTTAGAGGTGGATCCTTTGATTCGACAGAGACTTTTGATCAAATTCAGGTTCAAGCCTTCCTTTGGGTCAAAAACAAAGGAAAGGAAGGATGATTCTATTTCTCTGATTGGATTTTCAACCCCAGATGCTACAAGATTTTGTAATGAACCTCCTAATACTGTACTTTCATTTCAATAGGTGCTGATTAATGTATAAGGGATTGAGTACCCCTTGTACTCACTAAATAAAAAAAAAAAAATCTTTGCCTTTCGAAAAAAAAAATCATTTCATTAATTAAAATGTAGAGGCAAAGACAATAACATGCTTCTTCGTATGACTAGATTTCAAATCCTAGAGACTATGTTCTTGATTTGAATCAGGGTAGAATTTTCAATTAATATTCCACTGCATATGCACTAGGGGGAAGATATAACAACAATTACTCAGTGCATATGGACATCAATATTCCTTATACTCAATCAGAAATAAATTTAGTTTTTACTTTTCAAACTTAAAAAAAAAAAGCTACATTATGTTGTCCAAGAATGTGCTTTACCGACATTATTCCACTCCGAATTTATCTTCAAGACAAAATTTTCGTATAGAAGAATAACAATAATAAATAGGAAAGTAATTAGTATGTACTCAATTCAATATATTTTTTGACACTCGTCTCAGTGCAGTTATTAAAATATAATATAAGTACAGTTAATTCTTATACTTTATATATATAATTGCATTTTTAAGTTTGTCTATCTTTAATTTTAAATTAAAATGAAGTAATTTTTTAATGAATATATTGTATAATATGTTAAATTAAACTATGCACCAATCAATGTCTTAATAAATAACAGGACTTTAGAGTTTAGAATATAAAGTGGAGCTATTGGTCACAATTATCTTGAAAGTTGATTATGTAACTTGAAAGTGCAGTTGCAAGCTTCTTTACATCATCTGCTGTGTGTGCTGCACTCGGAGTTACCCGCAACCTAATACATATAATATCACTTTCATTAAAAATGATACCAATTAAGTTTGTTCTTCATGTTAGAGATGGGAGCGAAATGCACCTCTCCACGTAGCCCTTTCGTACGCCCTATGTGGTGATATTCCTCCATGCCAATGCTCTGCTCACCGGACCTTCGAACCCAGAACCCATGACTCGAGTGTTTGAAGACAAACACTCAGCCATTTGGACTGGGAAGAGGCCGGTCTCCATGCCAATGCGTATAGCCAACATGATAGGCTAACTTTCTGTGTATCAGACTAGTACGTACAGCTAGCCAACATGCCAATGTTATGAACAAATTTTCTTGTTTAAAAAAAAAGGGCAATTCCAATTCCATCCAATCAGTTTCGGCCAAAAAAATTTTCATCTAATCATAAATTGGTAAAAATGTTTTTTTAAACCATTTTTAGCAAGAAGACACACATATTGAATTGCTAATTAACTTAAAAGTGAGGTGAAGAAATAGCAATTGCATGTTGTAGGGGCGAATATATTTCTCGTGCTTTCTGACTTTGCTTGGTACAGTCTGATCCTGTGTATAAAGCTAACCTTGAACATCTTGAACCCACAGCCACCTTCACAAGTTCATCTGCATCTTGCTCAGGGCATCAAAAACTCCGGTGAGTTTTGTGTTGTATTCATGGTTTCCAGGTTTAATATAACCTTGTTCAATTCCCCATTTATCATTATCATCTTGTTTCCTTAACGTTTATAATTCCAGGTTTAAAGATCTTTAATTTCAAGTTTATAGTCTTAGTTTTTCACCAAAAAAAAAAATTATAGTTATAGAATAAACTAGGAACAAAAATAAAAGTATGAATGTCTATCTTAATTTTTTCATATTTTTCTTTCCCTTCCTTTTCTTAATATAACCTTGTTTTATACACTGATTTAATTTTTTTTTTTTTTGAAACTAATAGGTACACTTGGCTCTAAACATGGTAAATCTATTTTACATTGTTTTGTATCATATTTTAAATTTTTTTATTTTTAATATTCTAACTTGCAGTTAATGCGATATTTTAGACCATTGAAATGGATTGGAGGGGCAAGCCTGTGTTGGCTCCGGTGGTTGACCAATTAAACTGTCGTAAGTAATTAATTAATTATATATTCTTTAATTTCTTTCTCCTTTCTTTTTAAATTTTTTTAGAGAATATACTTTAACTAATAAACATATATATAAAGTTGTTAGAGTTTTCCCACTCTCCTCAATTCCTCGTTCCGTCGTTATCTGTTCATAATTCTTTGGTTATGACAGTGAGCCAACTTCTCTGTCTTAACTCTTTTTTTTTTTCGGCTTCTGCTAATTACAGTACTAGTTTATCTCCTTCCAAAGTCCCAAGAAAAAAACATGCACTTATATTTGAAAAAAAAAATCAAATTTCTTATACTGTCTATTATTATTATTATTATTATTATCATTATTTTTTTTTATTATAAAA